TGTGATCAGGAGATGGGCTTCCCTTTTCACACTTCTTCCTGAGAAATTCAAGATGCCACTCTTGGTTGTTGTGACGTAACTCAGGATTTAATTTTCTGCCCATTTCCTTTTTAATCTGCCTGTCCTGCTCCATAATCCCCGTTCAGGCCTTTTTCCTAGTGATAAACCGTTCAGGGCCAGCTGTGACCGTTTTGCATTGCCGTTTGGTTTGACGTGGAAACTGTCACTTTAAATTTCAAGGAGATCTGTGTGCACACGTAGTAGAACCCTCCAGGGGTGGGGGTAAGGTACCCCTGTAGTCACCAGAATGGAGGTGTGCAGACAGCAAGAGACCAATGAACAGATACAAAAAAAAAAAAAAACAGTGTCCACACCTTTATCTCTGTTATTCTGTCAGGCATCCGTGGCTGCTCTGATCCTTCCCCCGCTTGATCTCGCCCAAGATGGTGGCTCCAGGAGCAACTGAGCAACTTAAATTAGAAAGCAATGGATTTCTTGCTTCTGCTAAAAATTCCCCTAGCTGTAAGCCTTCCAACCTTCTAAATATTCCTTTATATGTGGTTCAGAGCTCTGGCACCATCCTGTGAGCCTGCTTGGTCTGGTATTCTGTTGTTGATGATGGAGCTCCTCACTGCACTTCTACCCGGTCTGCCATCTAATTTGTTCTCCAGAATAATCCCTTTTTATGTGAAAGATTTTCACATACACTTAGGAGTCCTGGTGGCTCAGTTTTAAGCACCTGGCTGCTAATGTAAATGTGGGAGGTTCAAACCCACCAGCTGCTTTGTAGGAGAAACACGTAGCAATCTGTTTCCATAATAGCCTTGGAAACCTTACAAGGTAGTACTACTCTGTCCTCGAGGCTTGCTAGGAGTTGACAGCTATGGGCTTGGTTTTTAAAAGTAATTTGAAATAACAATGCACTGATATTATTATATTTTGAAATGAACATAAATAATTAACTTTCTGAACAAAAATCCTTACCTTGCAATAACAGATTCAATTGGCATGATATCAGGTACACAATGGGCCATTGGAGAAACAAAGTGCCCATCTAGGATTTTACAGTCTGATTGCTCCTCAATCTAAAATAAAAGCAAGATGTACATGTGTAGGCTAAGATATCTTGGTATATTACACATATTTATATTGTTCAGTGCTTATTATGTATTCTTTTGCCCCCACTGTGCTTTTTAACAGCCCCAACATACTTATTTTTTGTCTATATTCTTAACAACAGCTAGTTGGGAAAATAAACTACAAATCAACCTAATTTATACATTGAGATGCAATCACTTAAAATGAAATACTAGTTAGAAGAAATCAACAATATGCAACAATATAAAAATAATCACAAGAATAGTTTATAAACAAATTACAAGAACTACTTACCACAATCAAATATGGGTTGACATTAATATTTTAATATGGCTTTGTATCAGACTGATGTAATAATGATTCATATCAATAGATTAAATAAAGACAAATGAGATATTTACCTATATAGAAAGACATTTGTAACATTCAACACTTAAACTTATTCTCTTATCAAATAGTTATTTCTTTAAAATAAAGAAATATATATTTCAGGACACTAGTCAAAATTTTATATTAGCAATAAAACACCAGATATATCAAAATCAGAACAAACAAGCAAACAAACAAATCTGTGGATAATGTATACATACAATCTTTTTTATTTAAACACAAATTGATAGCTAGTTGTGATAATACTACTTATTGAATAATCTTTATTTTTACAACTGACTTAGAAGGGAACTTTCATCATACACTACATTTTCATATTTAATTTTATTATTTTTTATGCATATTTCTGCAGTTTTATAATATCTACTGATAATATGACTCAAATAAGTCTTTCCTTATTTTCCTTATTACTTTATCTTTTTTTAAAAAGTGTGATTTGAGTGAACGTTTATATAATTCATACACATTTAGTTTCATGACATTAGTTGAAATCCCAATGTAGCAGCTCTCTTTGCACTTCTCTCCTAGGGTTCCTGTTTCCATTTGTACATCTTTTCTGCTCATTCCTGTCTTATGAACTTTGTTTTTGGGGAAATACTGCCCTTTTGGTCACATACAGTTAACTTTTCCAAAGCACCTTTCTCACTTGTGTTACTGTAAATTTTGTAGACCTGTCTATTGTTTAGCTGAAAGGAGATCTCTGGGAGTGGGTCATTTCCAAGTCTGAAAGATGTCTAAGGCTATAGTCTCATGGGTTCCATTAGTCTCTATCAGACCAGTAAGTCTGGTCTTCATGATTTTGAATCTGTTCTACATATTCCTCCCATCTGTCCAGGATCTTCTATTTGGAAATTTATATACTATTATTTTTCAAATAACTCCTCATGTGGTACCTTTTTAACCAGAGACAAAAGAAAACAAAAAATAATACCAGTTGTTGCAGAGTACAGTCTAACTTGTGGTGACCCCATATGCGTCAGAAGAAGATCTGTGTTCCACAGGGTTTTCAATGGCTGATTTTTTGGGAAAGCAAATCACAAATTGCCAGAATTTTCTTTTGAGGCATTATGGGTCAATTCAAATCACCAATCTTTTGGCTAGTAGCTAAGCACTTACTTGTTTGCATCACAAACTAGATTAAAGTTACTATTGTGTTGTTGTTAAGTGCTGTCCAGTCACTTACGACTCATAGCAATCCTGTATAGGGTTTCTGAGGAGCAGCTGGTGGGCCTGAAATGCTAACCTTGTAATTCGCAGTCCAGTGCTGATCCTACAGCACCACACCAAAACTCCATAGTTAGCATAGCAAATATTAACTATATGTTTCAAATATATGAGGGGCTTCAAAAAATTCATGGCAAAATGGAATTAAAAGATAACAGAATTTTTCCAAGAACTCTTTGAAGTCCCCTCATAAATAAATGTAATTATTAAAAGTATCCAAGCATTCAAATAGAATTTGTTAAACATTAAATGGAAAAAACCAACTACATGTACACTTCGATGTTTATTGTTACTTTACTCCAACATTCGATTTATTTATGTCTAATCAGAATTCCCATGACTATATTTCTTTTTTTTTAATACCTTATCAATGTATACTGGATAATCACTTGAAACCAGATGCTGGCATCTTTCTCTATTTCCAATCATCTTTCTGAATTCAAACAGTCTATCAAGGGAAAAGAGAAAAAAGAAATTCAAACACTTACACCCATTGTATTGAGACTGTATCAATGACAAAAATGAGCAAATCTAGTTTATAAGTCATGTTATAATTCAATTTTAACAAATAAAGAAAAAAAATTTCCCCCAAAAAACTGGACCCAGAAAATTGTGGGAAAAAACATTGTTAAGAAAGCAATTAACTCATAAAATTTTCAAAATTAAAACAACCAATCCTGAAAATATGTGCCTACTTAGATCTAAATTCTCCCATTAGTACGACAGCATGTCAGATCTTTATTTGTTGTTGTTGTTAGGTGCTATCGAGTCGGTACTGACTCATAGCAACCTTATGCACAACAGAATGAAACACTGCCCCTGCCAACCTCACAACTGTTGCCATGCTTGAGCATACTGACGCTGCCACTTTGCCAATCCATCTGACTCAGGGTCTTTCTCTTTATCTCTGATCCTCCACATTACCAAATATGATATCTTTCTCCAGGGACTGGTCCCTCCTGACAGTATGTCTGAAGTATGAGAGACGAAGTTTGGCCATCCTGGTGGAGCACTCTGGCTGTTCTTCTTCCAACACAGATCTGTTGGTTCTTTTGGCAACCCATGGCACTTTCAATAGTCTCCTCTAACACCATACATAACTCAAATGCATAATTCTTCTACGGTCTTATTCACTGTCCAACTTTCACATGCATATGAGGTTATTGAAAATACCAAAGCTTAGGTCAGGTGCACCTTTGTCCTCAAGCTGACATCTTTGCTCTT